GCCCCGGTTCGGATCCCACATATGAGGGCCAGTGAACACTGCCCTCCACAGCTAAGATGCTGAACAACAGCTCAACCTAGAGCTGGGCTGCCGGGATTCGCTGGCGACAGTGTAGGCTGCAGTCCCTGTGGCAGTGGGTTGCCATGGGCTACCGTGTGTGGCCAGCAGCCAGCGTGAGTGGCCAGCAGCCTCCGTGAGTGGCCGTCCAGAAGCCAGGGACTGATCTGCCTCTCCTGGGAAGAGCGCAATGATGGTGCCAACTTGGGCAAGTGAAGCAACATCCTCCACAGCTAGATTGAAGAACAAAAACGACAGCAACTTGTCTGTTCCCCTTCCCCAATTCCCCAATAAAAATCTTTTAAAAAAAATGACAGCGATAAGATCCAGATATTTGCTTTTCTTCCCCGTACAGATCCTGTACTTGACCACTACTCTTACAAATTCCATAACTAAATTCTTAGGTTCAGAATCTAACTTAGTGGTTGGGGTATAACTGGGCTGGTATTATAATAGCATGTAGATGGTATTTTGGTGAGGGAACCCAGGAATACCCAAATATTCTTTGATCTAGCCATCCTTTTGACCCATGAGGTTCCCCACGTATGCTCAGAACCCAGGTCACAATAAGTGGTACAGACAGGATACAAACCCAAGCATTCTGGCTCCAATATCTATGGTCTTGGATTTGCTTTATCTGGTTCAACAGTGGAGGCCATGGATACATGACCTGTGGGCTTAAAATTTGGCAGCTATGCTTTCTGTATCATAAGGGCAAACAGAACACCACCACCTTTATAAAACTTTTCTTGAAGTGGCATCTGGTCAATGGAATCTGAGGGGAAGACTGATGAGATAGGACTGCTAGGTACAATTTTTCTCCCTGTGTAAAGAAACTTGGGGGAGGGCCGGCCGAGTGGTGCGATGGTTAAGAACTGGCTTGGGACACCAGAGGGCCCCAGTACGGATCCCACATATGAGGGCCAGTGACACTGCCCTCTACAGCTGAGATGCTGAACAACAGCTCAACCTGGAGCTGGGTTGCCATGAGTCGCTGGCGATGGCGTAGGCTGCAGCCCCTGTGGCAGTGGGTTGCCATGGACTACCGTGTGTAGCCAGCAGCCAGCGTGAGCGGCCAGCAGCCTCCGTGAGCGGCCATCCAGAAGCCAGCGACTGATCTGCCTCACCCGGGAAGAGCGCAATGATGGTGCCAACTTGGGCCAGTGAAGC